GAAAAATATTTGAATAAAATATTTTTGCTTACCAAAAATATTTTATAATATCAAAATAAATATTTGATAAATGTTTGACACACTTTTTGTAACTGACTCAATAAAACTATTTTGAACAGTTAAAAAGATTTTTCAACTGACTCCAAAAATAAATATAATTTTTATTTTTACTCTCATAAAAATAATTTTGGAGAGAAGATATTTTTGTCATCCTTACAATAATTCCTAAGACTCAAATAAATAAAAAGTCTTCGGAAAACTTCTACTCCTCCGAGTTCTCCGTTAGGCGCTCCGGACGCGTCTCGGACTTCAACAAAATCCTGTGCACCTTCTTGAATACTTCAAGGAATGACACTTCAAGTCTTCGTATTTGTCGTTGTAGCACTTTAATCTTGACTTGAATAAATTATGTTTGTCAATTATCAAAACCTGTGAGTCAACACTAAACAACACAGAAATGGATTGAACTCATGCATTCCAACAGATGACGTGTCAAAAAATTTGAAAGAAACGACAATAATAACTATTGTATGTGACATTGTACATTGTCATTTCATAATTTTTTTATATTATGTGTTGGTATTATTGGGATTATAAATCATATTTCGTGGGTAAAAACATGAAGGTTCCATTTTGGTTCTTTTCCAATGTTTTATTCATATTATTTTGGTTATGAATAATGCCTTATTGCATCAAGAGTCTACATATTTTTAAGATATTAATAGAAATGAATATTATAATGAGACTTAGAGCCTGTTCTTTAGAGCTTAAACTCTTAACTTTCAGATTCTTTGAGTTCCTTCAAGAGTTTTACAGTTTTTCCAGTTCCTTCCAGTTTTTTCCAGTTTTTTCCTTTTTTTCAGTTTCTTCCAGTTTCTTCCCACTATTTTTATTTTCTTCAAACTCTTTCTGCTTTCTGACAAATCACTCTAAAAACAATATATTATTATTATTATTATTTTTGTTATTATTATTATTATTATTATTATTATTCTTATTATTAGTATTATTACAACTATTATGTTCATAACTGTAGTTTATAAATTATTTCGTTTTTTCATCTAACTATTTTTATGATTCACACTCATTTTTATTTTTTCTTCAACTTTTTAATATAAATAATACCATATTTTTTAAATATTAATCTACATGATAAAATAGAAAAACATCAATAGTTAAACTATTGAGTAAATTTCATAAAAGGTCTCAGTTATAGATCATTTTACATATTTAGTCCCTACATATCAACTATCACTAATTTAGTCCCCAATTATTACATCATTTTTCACGAATGGTCCTTTTGTTAACTTTTTTGTTAAAAACATAGATAAAATTGTATATTTATACTTCTCTCTCTCCTCAAGTAATAAGCTTCTTTCTTCCTCTCGTATTCTTTCCCAAACTCGTTGGTGAGTTTGAATCTCTAAACCCAAAACTGAAATGATCACTCTTCTCTCAATTCTTAATCTTCATAGTGGAACCTAAAATCAAAACAATAAGCTTTATGGATGAGATTTATCGGTTAGTCTCAAGAAATTGCAAAAAATACTAAAACTCATCCATGAAGGTTACTAGTTTCAAATTTGGGTTCCACCAGTTAGACAAATAATTGAGAGAAGAGTGATGATTTCGATTTTGGTTCAAAGCTTCAAACTCAGCGACGGGTTTGGGAAAGGAGTGCGAGGGGAGGGAGGAAGCTTAATTGAGGAGAGAAAGGAGTGTGAATTTACAGTTTTATCCACGTTCTTAACGGAAATGTTAAAAAAGGACAATTCGTGGAAATGAATATAATAATTGAGGACTAAATTTTTGATATTTGATATGTAGGGACTAAATATGTAAAACGGTCTATAACTAAAGACCTTTTATTAAATTTACTATAAACTATTTAAAATAATTATGGATAAAATAGTTACATAGTATGTTTTTAACCTAAATTTATATAAGGTAATTAAACATCAATATTTTAATCTAAAATATAAAAGTAGAATGGGGGTGGGAAGTACTACATTATGAAAACCAAGAGAGAACTACATTTTGAAAAAAAACGATCCAAAAAGTGTAAAAAAGAAATTCAGATAACAAATAATATCACCAGAAGTAGGGTTACAATGAAAATAAAATGACAATTATTAAAGAAAAAATAGGTTTTATTACATTATGTGACATGTCTGATATTTAAAATAAAATCTTTTAATATATAAAATATAATAGCAAATATATTATTTTATGATTAATACTACATAGCCGTAATAACTGTTAGTATATAACGTTTTGATATTTATGCGCTCATTTTATATTCTAATTATTTTTTTTTTCAAAAGTGATTTTTTATGAAAAATAAAAATATTTTTTTTATCTTAAATACATTTATTAACATAACGTGATGACACCACCACCACCACCAACAACAAAAACAATGATGATGATGATGATGATGATAATAATAATAATAATAATAATAATAATTTATAAAAAGAATTAGAATGAGAAAAATATAAAAACACAAAAAAAATTAAGAGTTTTTTTAGATTTTTGAATTTTTTCTAGTTTTTCCATATTTGTTTTTTTTTAATTTTTTTCTAGTTTCTTTCAATTCTTTCCAGTTTCTTCCAGTTGGTTTCACTTTCTTCCAACATTCAGCTCTTTTTTCCAGTCTTAAAGAACATGCTCTTAATAGGGATTTGTTTTAAAGTAAACCAGAAGTTTATCCACTTAACGAATTATTTATTTTTAACATGACATATTAGATTATCCCGATTTAGTTGTGATAAAAATAATTATTAACAACTCAAGTCAATTTTATTTCAAGGACCGGTTGTTCCTATTATTATTAGGACCAGAAGATCCTAGAGTCTTGTTCTCATTACAAGACTATCATGAGATTATCAATAATACAAGTTGGGATATATTTTCATCATGTATATTTAGGAATTGTTCAAGGAAGACTGATAGAGCCCGTTAACGATTCTGAACAATTTAAATGCTTTATATGATGCATCGTTATATTGGTCATATTTGTTGATGATTAACTCGTAACCCGAAGTTTATGAGATTTGTTCATATATTATACTCCCTCCGTTCCACAAAACCATTCCCATTTTGACTTTGGGCAAAAATAAGGAAAGTGTAATTTTGGTTGACTTTCCAATTTTGCCCTTGATGTGATGGGAAAAAGTAAGATGTGATTGTTTGGTTATTAGTGAAAAAGTATGCTGTGATAGGTAGGGTATGAAAAAATAGGGGTAAAAGTGGTTTTTAATAGAAAGTGGAAGTGTTTTGTGGAAAACAAAAAAAAACGAAAGGGGAAGAGTTTTGTGGAACGGAGGGAGTATTATGGATATATACAATTTCTAGATTATGTTGAACATTATTAGCCACAAAATTAAAAGAGTCTGCAGCTCTAGTTAATATGCAAAATGCATCTAATTAGTGGTTATTATACTTTTGATTATGAGAACAAAACATTTTATGTTGATTTTTGAATCTTCATTTATGTAGTACTCATTTAATACTTCCATACTTTTTTTGTGAAATATTACCCCATACTACTATTATCCTGTGCTACGTTAATCACTCCCGGCCGGTTCAAGCCCCACCCGAAATGCAGGTTAAAGTTGAGTAACGTATCCACTTTTCTCGTCATCCATACCCATGTAGTCCCCTAGCAAGTTTAAATTTTCATATTTTCATTTTCTTGTAAGATCATAATTTTCCCATCCCCAAATGAACTTAACACATTCATAATAGTGTTTAATTTGTGTGAAGTTATTTTTAATTTATTTTATTAAAATATTGGTGTAAATATTAAAAATTTATGTTAATTGCAAAAACCTAAACCGAAGTAAAATTTCAATATTTTCATTTGATTTTATTTAACAATTGGTATAAAAATAAAGAAAACTTGCATTTTTAAAAAACTATGTCAAAAGTTCTAAGCTAAGAAGCAATAAGAACATTTTTATCAAACTAAATTATTAATGAAAATCTACAAATAAAGAAAAGTTGCCGTGATTTTAGAATAATGCAATGTATAATTTATTCTGAGATAAAAGGATGATAAATTTAGAAATGACTCCAAGGTACATCAATAGTCCTAAAAAAAGGTAGGACATGATCAAGAGTGTTATTTTAAAAAAACGATTCACGAATAATACTCGTATGTTAATATAAAATACATCATACATAATTTGACGTGTGAATAGTAACTCCAAAGTTGATTTAAAGAAGAGGGAGTATATCAAGAGTTCGAAAGTCAGCGCCACATAATTTCTTAAAAAAAAATAAAGTTTCACGTGCAAGGCTCAAAGAAATTACGTCTGAACTTGAGCGGACGTGAAGATTACTTAAAGAACCAGTACAAGATAACCCCAAACTCCTCCTCCTCCTCCATCACCACCTTCTTCTTTGTTCATCATCATCATCATCATCCTCCGGCTGTAAACCCCGATTATGAGGGAAAAGTAAGGATAGATCTCCGTGAAATCTTTGTCCGATCCGCACCCATATATATATATGTATATATAGGTTGTGTGTGTGTATACATATACATATACATATATATATATATATATATATATATATATATATATATATATATATATATTATTACTATATCACGTTTTCAGTCCTCTTTCCGTTACTGTCGTTTTCCTAAATTTGCTCATCCCTCGGAATAAAACCGGGCTGCGTTTCACTATATTTCTCTATCTACTTCTCTTTATGGTTATAGTTCTAGTCACAAATAATCATACTAGTCTCGCCATTCAATCCTTCTCCGTCGTCTTCCTCTACCATTTCTACGTTTTCTCGTAACCTGGATGAACCGGTCGAGGACGACGTAGAGAGGAAGAGGAAGAAGAATATATAATAATGCCGAGTGTGTTGACGGATGAGGAGAGGTATGCGGGAGTGGACGAGAAGAAGAGGAAGAGGATGATATCGAACAAGGAGTCGGCGAGGAGGTCGAGGATGAAGAAGCAGAAGCTGATACTGGAGCTGACGGAGGAGGTGAGGCGGCTTCAGCACGCGAGGAGCGGGATCAACGGGAGGATCGACGAGACGAGGGAGAAGCTCGCGAGCTTGGACTCCGAGAACGATGTTCTCAAGGCCCGAACTCTCGAGCTCAACGAGAGGTTCGAGTCTCTCAATGACATGATCAAAAACTTTGGGATTCACCACCAGGTTGATCCTCCTCCTCCTCATCATCATCATCATCACCATCATCATACTACTACTACTACTAATAATAATGTTAATAATGTGGCTGTGGGTGATAATGTGAATAATAATGAGGAATTGGATAATGATGAGACATGGATGCAGCTGTTGAACAGTGATGTTATTGATAAAATGCTGGAGCCATGGAAGAGTACTCTTTACCCTATTCAAACCCATCCTTCCTCAACTGTTTGAATTCTACCTTCTCAAGCCACCATGCACTCTTCAGCATCATCTTCATCATCATCTTTTTATTTGGGTTGGGTTTATATGCTACTTGTATAATAAGTTTAATCAAAATCTATCTATATGTATCTATATATATCTATCTTTGTTGTTGTTGTAGTAGTTGTTATTGTTGTTGTTGTTGTGTATATGCAATAATAAAGCTTGGTGTCGCTATATGTTAATTAGTGTATAGTAATTTATGCATTTTTGTTGTACAAGTTTGTGTGTATGGATGATGATGATCAATAATAAATAATGGTGTGTTTTTGTGTGTGTTGGAATTGAAGTTGTATTCAATCTATACTAGCTATATATCTTACGATTGCTTATTATTATGATCATGTATGTATGCATTATTTTGTTTTGTTTTGACGTGACATCGAAAAAGTATTTTCGACGGGTGCCCTTGATTTTGTGGTAAAAACTTTGAGGTCTCATCATATTGTCAAAATTAAAATAACTCCAAGAGCATCTAAAATTTGAAGTAAATGACGCGAGTGGTACTTCTTGTCCAACAAGTTATTTGATGCGAGAATTTCGTTAATTACCCGTTTCACAATTATTATAGGGTACTTTAAGTTTTATACTTTGAACTCGCTCCTCTTGTTTTATCTTCCTCCTTCATCCTCTCTAGCTAGATCGTTGGGATGGAGGGAGCTACTATACGACGGTGGAGGTGCGACTTCAGTACTCTAGATGCCAGTGGTGATGTCCGATGAGGCTAGGGTGAGGTGGCCGGAGGTCTGATGTTGGCCAGTCAACGGCCAGTGATGAGGACAATGGTACAATCTATGTATCTTCTTCTTCTAGCTTCTTGTGTGTGTGTGTGTATGTATATAATCTTCTTCCTCTTCATTGTTTTTGTACAAGTTTTTGTATTGATGATGATGGATTAATAGATAATGGTGTGTTTCTTTTTGTTGGAAATTGCATTCAATTCAATCTATCTTTCTTATGATTGGTAATTATGATCATGTATGTGTGGTTTTTTGTTTTGACATGAGATGTTATTACTCATTACTCCATGTTTTGTTTTACTCTGATTAAATGTCCGGTTGACTTTTTATATGTAGTGAAAATTGAATGAACGGTCTTTTTCATTATTAAAGTACAACACGGTTCATATGACATTGTATTGCAATGTAATAGCATGTCTCGACTCTCGAGTCTTCTAATGTACTTCATTCAAATAATGGATGGTTACTGTAGCCAATCAACAAAAGAAAGGAGGACCTGGGGGCAAGAGAGGTGGGAAACAATAATTTTTGAACAAAACACGGTAAAAGACTTGAGTCATGTTATGACATTGGCCGGGTTCAATGTCATTTGAACTGGAGTGCTGAAAATATTGAAAGTTAAACTTCACAAGTGATCTTCAAACACTAGCACGCAATTTATTATATAATTATTAGTCAAGTGTATAATAGTTTAATTAAAAATGTTAAATTGTAGATAATTATAAGGGATGAAGGAAGTAATTTTTTTTTAAAGATGATGGCGATTAAACAATTAAATTCTTGAAAGAGAAGGGTTGTTGAGATCGGCATGAAAGACAAAGACAGAACCAATTAATACTACACTTCAAGAGTTAATACGCTTTATAAAATCCCTTTAAAAATCTGGTTGAGATTTAATATACTTTTTATGAGAACTTTACTACTCTATCTCATTAAAGTTTCATTATTTTGGTTTTAGTTTGTGCTTCAATCATGAAAACTGGCTATCTCTTTATTATTAGAAATTGCCTGAGTATTAAATCGTTAGTCTTATTTAGAATAAATGATCTCCTACTCGGTATTTAAGAGTATTAAAACTTTTTTAAGATTAAATATCTTTTTAGTATTTGTAAAATAAGAAGAAATCACTCTAAATATAAATAAAATATAGAAAAAACATCAGAAAAAGAATTCTATGCTTTTATCTCCAAAATAGAATTTTGTATTGTGGTAAGTATATGGACAATACTTTTTAAAAATGTGTATGATCGTGATTGACATTATAAATACATTTTAATTCTTATTTCTCGAATTAAACACAAACTCCTATTTTAGTACATTTTTAATATTTTACTCTTACTTTATTCTTTTTTCCTGATGAAATAAGCAACTTATTTTTTGTCTCTACAAAAAGAATTCTTGTTAAGTTATCCTTACAAGTTACAAAAAAAATTATTTTGAAAATAGTCCTTGAACAGTTAAACATAGCTAGTGCTTCCAATTTGTTGAAATAACACATTTATTTCGTACTGAGTATTCTAATCTTGTATTTCTGATTATCTCAAACACAATTCTAATGTCATAGATTATTTTCTTCATCAAACTACATCCTAGTTCCCAAATTTTATTATACTAATTCCTAAAAAATTTAAAAATTGGAGATAATACCTATGAATAAGAACACGAATTAGGAAATGAGAATTGTGTTAAAGGTGTTAGAATTTTGGAAAGGGGATGAACGCTGCAAATACTTTATGAATGAAGAACAAGCATAACGGCTTGATAGTTTATAATGAATCGCGTAGAATGATTTCAAATCAATGTTATTTCGGGATATACCAAAATACTTTAATCGGATAAGATGTTAATCAAGAACAAGCACTTCTAATCTACCATCAACCATACCTATATCTTTATATTTATAGAGATGAAAAGCCATGATCAGGCAGACACATACATCCGTATGAAGATACATCCCAGTAGCGAAACAATGCATGCAGTTTCGCCTATTTTTGGATGTTTGATTTTTGAGTGTTTTAAGGCTCCGTTCACAAAATTCTAAGAATTTTCATAAAGCAATAATGTTCAAAATAAAAATTTCCAGGTTGTCCCGGGCGCCACCTGGGTAAGGGCTCTACCCTTTGGACCCCTTCAAGGGTTGCGTGCCACCCCTTGGATCCCGCTACAGGAGGCTGCCGCCCCTACACCTGTGTTATGAATTTGTAATATCATTGAATGAGCGTGCACTCCAGATCTCCTAACTCGTTTAACAACGTCTATTTATATTCTTATTTGATCTAAATAAACTCAATTACTCAAAATAGTCGATGCCACTAAAATCACCAACATTCTCTCCCCTATTTTAGTGTAATCCATGATTTACTTTCTTGGGAAAATAAATTAGACACACTTATGCATAATGAAAATATCGCAACGATTAAATTTTCATATTACTACATTACACATTCCAATTAAATATTTGAATTTTAGGGTTTCACTAAGGATTGAACCCTTGCAATTCATTTGAATGCATGAAGATAATATAGACATAATAAGCTCAAAATTCCTTTTTGTTCTAAGCTTGACACCATATTTACAAGCCTTGTGTCCCTATCCTTCAACGAGCATATAAAAGTTAATTAAGTCCAAACTTTGTGAAGCGGCTAAACTTCATATTCGTATAGGTAGTTCTTTTATGTCGTGTACCTGCATATACAATCTTTAAAAAGAACCATTAAGAAGATATACTTCAACCTCTTTTACTAGCAGTTCTTAACATATACCTTTAGATGAAGTTATTATAGTGCCCCAATCTCCAAATATTAAGCTTTCCACATTGAATTCAACACCTAACATCATATTAGGTACGGTGGGAATTAGATATCTTAACATGGGAGATATCATACACACTTTAATCCCATCCCTTTAGCCAAATTTTACACGAGATCTCTTCTTAGCCCTTTGGTTAAATAATTAGCTAAATTGTGTTGATTTCTAACAAACTCAATTGATACTACACTACTTTTGATCAAATTATGATATGTCTAACACCTGTGTGTTTAGACTTACCATCATACACCAAGTTTCTTAGCCACTCAACCTCTTTACTTGGAGAGGAGAAATCTTCCATATTAGTAATCTAACTTGTATCTACGTATCCTTTGAGAATAGGAGGATCTCCAACGTACATCAAACTATAATCCATAGTTTTTCTTAAGTACTTGAATATTCTTCGCATAACTTGCCAATGGTGTGTACAAAGATTGCAAGTGAACCTACTAAGCTTTTCAACAACATATGCTATATCCGATCTCGTGCTAACCATGACACACATTAACAAACTAATATTGAGTATTCAAGTTGAGACACAGTCTTGCCTTGATTAGGTAAGGGTTAAATGCTTGGATCAATAGGGGTATTGACCAGAGAATAATTTTCACAATAGAATTTCTTCAATATTTTTTCAATGTAGGGGTAATGAGACTTTGTAATGGATATCCAATTGTTCACGCGCTTTATCTAAATGCCTAGGATTACTTCCGCCTCCCTTAGATTCTTCATGAAAAACTTGATGATAAAAATTCTTTTATTTTGTTAACTTGATTTTGGTCGGTGCCAAAAATTAACATATCATCAACATATAGACAAATTATCACTTCTTTCATTGTATAATCTAAATTTATTTTGTAATAATTAAACCAATATAATTTCATAACGTAAATATGAGTTATGCAACACAAATGACATGTGTGTACTAGTTGTTTTCAAAATTCGTAAATAAGTTCTTAAGATAAATAACTGCGGAGTATTTTGCAAATCCTTTTCCTTACTTCATCCATATTTTTATTCTCTTTTTCATTATTATCTAAATATTTTTACGTGTTCAATATTTATACATATTCTACTTATTTTTTCATTTCATAGTTTTAAATCAAATTTGTAGATATATTTTATCCTAAGAGTCCGTTTGGTACATGAAATTGACGGAATTGAAATTGAATTAGAAGTTAAAGTTCTATGAAATTGAGTTCTCTAATTCTAATTCATTTTGGGTATTACCAATTTTAAATATACATATCTTTGAGCTACCAAACCGCAAAATTGAAATTATTGTTCTAATTCCTATTTGTTTGAATTTCTTGTACCACAGGAAGCCTAAGATTGTACCGTGGTAAAAGCGCAAATTATATCGTACATCCGGTTGTACCTATTTTTAGGTACAACCGGCTAATTGAAGAAGGGAATAAGATGGAACTGAAGCCGCCAGAATTACTGCCGCTCCTCTATTTGCCGGGTCGGGTCACCGTAGAAGAAAGACGGAAGGCGCCGGCGGTGATGACGAGGAGCAGGGAAGACGGAAGACAATGGAGGAGCGAAGATAGGGCGAAAATCAAGAGAAAACGATGGAGAAGGAAGATCTAAGGAGAAGGTGGCGGCGGCGTTAGGGTCGGGTCGAAAGAAAGCAGCTGGGAGGAGGGGGTGAAACCCTATTTGCATAGAAAAGGTTATTTATGGTATATGTTTTATTTTATTTTAGAATGAGCATTAAGTTATTTGAGAATGAGTACTATTTTTATTCAGAATGAACACTACATTATTTATGGATAAATATTATAACTGTATTGAATAAATGTGTGAAAATTAGTGATACATTATTTTAGAATGAGTACTGCATTATTTTAGAATGAGTACTACGTTTTAAAAATGAATAGTTATGTTTGTGCGAGAATGAGTACTACTTTACTTCACAATTCACAATGAGTACAACCCGAATATACCTATTTCCATGTACATCCTGTTGTACATAGTAAAAGAGGTTGAAAAATGAAAATGAACCTCAATTCTGCGACATAAAATGAAGACGACGATGATCTTATTCTTCTCCTTTGATTCTTCTTATTCAACAAAAAATATCCCCTCTCGCACATCTCAAGAAATCGACGTTAAATGGCCAATTCGAAACTGACAAAGAAGAAAAGGGTTTATTTACTCTTCGCCATTGTTGCCTTCATCGGTCTGAGCAATGCAGGTAAACGCCCAAAGCATTCATCTTCTCCATTTCTCTGATGGAAACCATCGAATTATCATACACATTTGTGCTTTTTTATGTTTATGTTGTTGTTCAAATCTGGAATTTGTTTCTGCGAAAAATTCTGTTGGGAAGATGGGCGGCTCTTGATGGGAATCACTACATGATTGGGGCTGAATTGATTTGTCCTGAGCAATTTGAATTTAGGTCTTTTATAAGAATGTTGAATTGTAGTTCGGCTTACAGTTGCTGTTTTTCTTATAAAATTTGATTGTTCAAACTTTTGTTTATTTGTTTTCTCGAGCCGATTGTCTTTCATAAAAATACCCTCCATAAGTAAGGGTAACGTCCGCGTACACACACTCATCCCACTCGTGGCACCCTCATTGAGGTGTTGAATGTCAATGGAATTGGAGTTTCTACCGTTCTCAAACAACCCGAAAACAAGATGTTTTTAGAGGTTTGGATGAGGAAAAAGTAGTGTAAAGCAGGTGAGGAAAATGAATGCATCAACATGATACATAGAAGTATATAACATATTTCATGTTCAATTGATTTCTCTTAGAAACAATGCATCAACCATTGGTTTAGAAATCCCAAAATACCAAATCAAACAATCTGGTCTCTAGGGCAGGGTCCAAGGGATACACCGAGCTCTATGAACTTGCATATATTGTCTCAATGTTTTTGGGTGTTTAGAAGGTATTGGGTGAGCTAATAAAGAGTGGTTTTCAAATAAACAATTAATTTACATTTCTAGAAAAAGAGACAAACAAACCAGATCCTAGGCGGGGTTTTGACAGGGATATGTAAACCTCATCTCTGATATAGCTTCTCTACGATATGACAATATACGCAACTACAACAACCGAGTAGAATCCCATATAGTATGTGCATTTTCATTATCAATTCAAGTGATTGAGCTTTCCAAATTTGCCTCATGGAGTTTGCTTTCCTAAATCCGAAATCACTTAAAATCAGAGAAGGTATTAAAACCTATTTGACAATATATGTGAGTTTTTTTATGAAATGAATGGACCTAACATAAAATGCAGTTATTAATATACTCATCAATATATTGGACCTAAATTATTTGGGGCTCCAAACAATAAGGGGCCAGGGAAAAAGCGCAAGTCGCCCGCTTATCTAAGATGAGAGTGGCTACCGTCCTTTTGCAGTTAAACCAATCAGAAATGGGAAAATATCCCTTTTTACCTTGTAACTCAAGTTGCTTTGCTGTTATTCAAAGTAGCCGGCTTTTACTTTGAAAGTTGAAACCGAATTCTTTATTTCTTTGCATGTTGAATATGAATGTTTCGTACATCAATTGATTCTGAATGATGTTCGAGCTGCTCGCAGTTTCACTCCTGCATGTCTTATCTATCTTACATTATGACCTAAACTGCCTTAAATAGAAGTATAAAACAAAGCTACTTTGGTAGTTTTCTTCCCTTATTTAGTTATCTTGGTCTTTTCTTGCACTTCTTGGCATTTCTACTAATTGAATGATGGCATTGGAGTCATAGGACCTCTACTCACGGTTTCTTTTTCATCTGTTTTGGTACATTTTTCGGCTGCATGTTATTACAGCCGAAAGATGCAGGAAGTTGGCGGGCAAAGAAACTTCATCTAAGACTGGGCATTTCAACATAATGTATTGTTTAGATGGAGGAAGTGGGAGCGTCGTGTGCGCGGTCAAAGAGGCTGTGAAGCTCTATGTTTACAGCATCCGAACCTCCCATGTTGAGAGAGCAAAGAGCGTAGCAATGGAAGGTGCTATGACCGACGCTCTATCCCAAGGTATGTCTGTCAAACAAGCAAACAAAGAAGCCCAGAGAGCGGCTGCGTGGGCCACCAGGACGGCGACCCGCCAAGCGGACCGCATTCTGGGCCCCATCGTTTCCTCGGGGTGGGACCTTTTGGAAGCGTTTTACTTCGGGGGTAGTGTGACCGAAGGGTCCCTCCGAAGCTCGGGCACTTTGATTGGCACTTATTTGGTTGGGTTTCTTGGGGAGCAGAGGTTTGGGAAGGTTGGGTATTTTGGAGGAAGCACTTTGGGGAGTTGGGTTGGAGGGAAGGTGGGTCTTATGTTTTATGATTTGGTAAATGGGATAGACCACATTATTCATTATAATGAACAAAATACCATAACTTAAAAAGTATTTCATAGGCTCTGATGATCATTGTACTATTTTTAATGATGTTTAGAGTGTAACTTATTATAAATCTCATTCATGTAAATAAAAAAAATTGAATTCCTAATTTCCAACCAATAAACAAACATGCATGGATATTCTTGTACTGTTTATACATAAAAAAATATACTCCATAGTGTTAGTTCAATTTTTCAATGATACTCCGTGTCTCCGAGGAAGAATAATCACATAAAAAAGTACCGTCCTTGAGTATTTGTTCATTTTTTTTACTTTTTGTAGTTAAAATGGTTAAAATTTGATCAATAATTAAAAATTAATCTTAGATATTGATACAAAAATAATTTCTTAAGTAAATACAATTCTTACAATTATCCTATAAGATATTTTTGAAATATTGTTTTATTTAATTAGTATACCATATAACTGTTATTTAATTATCAGTCAAAAGTTGTCTTTTGATTTTAAAAATCAAAATTCAACAAATATTCAAGTACAGAGTGGTAGTAGTGTTTTTAATGAAAAATGGAAAATATTTACTCCCCCAATGCAAGAGTAGCAAATGCGATGACCCATGGGTGCTCTGCTGTACCGTTCGTAAAATTGACGGCTCCTACCCCTTTAACCCCCCATCTTGCCTCGACCCGAATACACCCCGCACCTCCTTCAATTACACCCCACAAATTGATTTTGATTTTGGAGTCAAAATTTGACTCCAAAGTCAAAATCAACTTCTGGGATGCAATTGAAGGGAGTTGGGGGGTGTATTCGGGTCAGGGCAGANGGGGGGGGGGGGGGGGTTAGCAGGGCAATGTCATGGGAACCGTTCCCTAGTTCGGTGGGGTTCCCATGACATTAGAACCCCATGTCATGGGATGACCCGGGGCCACTCTGCCACCCGTTCGTGAAAATGACGGTTCCTAACTCCCACCTTAGCCCGACCCGAACACACCGCCCCATCCCCTTCAATTACACCTCACAAGTTGATTTTGATTTTGGAGTCAAATTTTGACTTAAAAGTCAAAATTAACTTGTGAGGTGTAATTGAAGGGGGTGTGTTCGGGTCGGGTCGGGGTAGGGGGTTTATCGGGGGTAGGAACCGTCAATTTTACAAATGGGACTGCGGAACACCCTCGAGTTATCCCATAATATTGCCGGGCAATGTCATGAGAACCGTCCCCTAGTAAATATCCGATATGTACTATGTACGCTATAATTAATGAAGTTGAAAAATGCATGTTTTGTTGTGACATCTTTTTGAAGACAAAAAATCACTCAAAATAAAAGTAAAATATAAATTTTATTTCTAAAATAGAAATGTGATGTTTTATTTTCAAAATGAGATTATTACACTCAGTCACGGATCTAGAAAAAATACTCCTCGGGCAAACTCATAGTCTACATTAAATAATAGGACGGGGTTCGGTGGCAGTGCCCTTAATTTTCTTAAGGCTATTTATAATAATAAAAAATGAATTAATTTTATTTCCATCAACTGTTCAAAAGGTAAAATAAAATATTTTCGAGCAGGAAAATATAACATAAATGTATATTATAACCTAACATAACTATGATATTTGAAATATTTTATCTTTTTTTTAAATTAAATAAGTATTCTTTGCTTTTGAACTAGAATTTTCTTTTGGCACGGGAGGTAGACAAATTTTTTACCAGTGGAGCTATTTTAATTTACCACAAATTTATTTTTTAACATTATTTTAAACAAAAAAATATTTAACTGGGGGCCATCCCCATACCATATATGGAGTAACTTAGATCCGCCCTGATTGCAGTGTGATATGAATGTAGCATTGTATATTGGATTCCATAGAAATGTTTTTTATTTTGTGTTGGCACTATTGACATTATAAATCTTATTTTAGGATAAAAAACAAAGGTCTTATTTTTGTACTGCTATTATATTTTACTCTATTTTGGTCTTTTACGGAATCCACGTTATAATTTATTTTAGCAACAAGAACATCAACAACAACAACCCAGTCGAATCCGACAAAGGTAAGGTCTAGGGAGAGTGTGTGAACGCAGTAGACTTTATTAGCTCATATTCGGAGGTAGAGAGACTCTTTCCAACCATTGACTCAGGCACCACAAGTAATCACATATGCAATCATACCCTTAATTTAAAAAATGGAGCGACTATTTCCCTGACCAATGATGAGCGTCAAAGGTTATATTGACTAACGGCTACTTCAATTCACCCTTAAATGATCAATAAAAGAAGCACAGATAATTGATGAACGTCAAAAGTTATATTGACTAACGGCTACTTCAATTCACCCTTAAAGAATCATGAAAAGAAGCACAGATAATTTAAAGAGCTACTCCCTCCGTTCCACAAAACCCTTCCCCTTTCGTTTTTTTGAATTCCCTAAAACACTTCCACTTTCTATTAAAAAACCACTTTTACCCTTACTTTTTCATACCTTACCTATCACATTATACTTTTTCACTAATAACCAAACTATCATATCTTACTTTTACACATCACATCAGGGGCAAACTTGGAAAGTCAACCAAAATTACACTTTTCTTATTTTTGCCAAAAGTCAAAAGTGGAAGGATTTAAAGGAACGGAGGGAGGGAATATTTTACTTTGGGTGAAGGAGAGTATCTGTTAGAATATAAATAACTGTTCTTGGGCCACAACCACAAGCTTGAGCTTTTGGTTGAGTTGGTTCCTTGACATGGTATCGGAGCCTCGTTGACTAAGAGGTCACGGGTTCGAAACTCAGCGCCACTCAGTTTAAAAAAATTTAGGTTTCACGTGCAAGGCTTGAAAAAGACTACGCCTGCACATGAGGGGGCGTGTTAAAATATAAATAATTGTTCCTTGATAGTATCATATTCCCATCCCTCCCTATGCTACTACTAGATGCATCATCATTCCCAATTGTCTTTATGAATAAGTGGCAAAGCTTAATGCGTTAATCGTATCCCCACTTCCCCTTAATTGGGTCCTACAATCTTCAATAAGTAGAGCCTTTTGGAAAGCCCTATCACAAAACATATTTGCAATATTACGATATATAGTATACTTTCTGCTCATTTCTGGCCATAATAACAATAATAATAAGGCCATTGTGTCAACATGGTGTGCCAAAACAGCCAAGTTGTGCTGAAAATCCTCCAGCTTTACCACCAGATTTCGAAGCTGGACAGCCTCAAACCCTCCAAAGATGTCGACACCTTGTTCACACAGCTTGTCCACACCTGCATCCCCCCTAGCCCCGTGGACGTCTCCGTCCTCTGCTCCGGGGTCCAGGAGAAGCGGTCCCACCTCATCCGCCTCTGCGCCGAAGCCGAGGGCCTCCTCGAGTCCCACTACTCCCGCCTCCTCGCCTCCCTCCCGAACCCCCTCCGGAACCTCGCCCTCTTCCCCTACTATGGTAACTACCTTAGGCTCACCGAGCTCGAGTTTGACATTCTCGCTGGCCACTGCGGCACTGGCCCCGGACGCGTCGCGTTTGTCGGGTCCGGGCCACTGCCACTGACCTCCATTGTCCTCGCCACTCGCCACCTCCCCGCCACGGAGGTGCACAACTACGACGTGGACCCCGACGCGAACTCGCTGGCGTCGAGGCTGGTGGGGTCCGACCCCGAGCTCTCGCGGCGCATGGCGTTCCACACGGTGGACATCATGGACGTCACGTCAGAGCTCGGGGGATACGATGTCGTGTTCCTCGCGGCCCTGGTTGGGATGGACAAGGAGGAGAAGGGCCGGGTCGTCGATCATCTGGCAAAGCACATGGCTCTCGGTGCACTCCTGATGGTGAGGAGCGCACACGGGGCACGAGCCTTCCTATATCCCGTCGTGGATCCTCGAGACCTCCGAGGGTTTGAGGTTCTCAGGGTGCACCATCCGACAGACGAGGTCATCAATTCCGTGATCATAGCGCGGAAGATGCACCCATCGCCTGTCGTTCACCGGTCCTACGACCAAAGCGTGGGGTCGGGATCCGCCATACTTCCTATCAAATGTTCTTGTGTTGAGATCCACACCTTGAATAATCCCTTCAATAAGGTGAGCGTTGTTGTTGAAGAATTGGCAATTGATCATGAATAGGTTTGGTTTTTGCCTTTATAGTTTGATTTACCTATGATTCATTCTATTATGTATGGTCTTAGTTTCATGTCATGCAAGAAACTATCTATCTATCTATCTATCCCTTAGCTCCTTAATTATTTGTGACCCCATTCCACATTAATCTATGGGTTCATAAATAATCTCCAATCAGTTAATTTCAATTCAATAAAATAAAGGGCATGCAAGACCCCTTAAGCATTAATTAAGTAGTGAATGTTTAAAAAAACACGGCTTAATGTGTACCATATATCTTCATTGTTATATTAATCGTGCACTTGAGAGGTTTTAGTTTGTTGGATTTAAAATTGATGGTTCATTTTGTCTCTTCTGTTTTAGTACTCCAATTTATATTAATAAAATTATATTTGTGGAGTTGATGTTCATATCGTGACCTCACTTATTTGATACTTTATCTAGTCATAATTAAAGTTTTTTCTCCTTTCGATTGGCCCATTTGTAAATGGGAATTATTTTCATTTCATTTTATTTGATTAAAAGTGTAAAAGTAAAAAAAATCAAAATTTAAATATCTCTCCATCCTGTATCTTTCTTTCTCATTTAATTTTTCACGATCTCCAATGTAATACTTTAACATAACATCTCAATTTATATATAAACATAGATTATTAAAAAATGATATTTCAAAACTACATTTCAAAGTGAATCTATTGATATCAAAGTTATATCACAATTTAATGCATTTTTTTTCATAATTTGTGAACAAAATTTAAAAATATTGACCACAAAAATCAAAATGAAAATAAAGATATTAGACGGAGAGAGTATTTAATAATTATATTTAAAATTCTATAAAATTTGAAGTGACTGAACTCAACCCGAAAGTACCTGAACTCGGTGCAACTTGAATCTGAAGTGACTGAACTCAACCTCACTGATTGACTCGTCAGGTCTAGTTTCGACATTTGATATCATGCCAAATGGCAAGAAACGGGCTATCGACAGGGTTTGAATATCCCTAGATTTGAAATTTGTATTCATTTTTTGTTCACCAAAAACTTAATATCAAAGATATCAAAACTCATATTGACCTAGCTCACTTAATACACCCTTATGATTCATCAAAAAGGATATTTATAGGTACTATTGTATTAATCATATTAATAATTTGGCAAATTCTTGTATGATCTTTATGTGTTTATTTTATGGACCTTTACACATAAACTAATTTTATGTAATGGACCTTGTGTAAATAAAGAGATCCAACTGTGAACTCATGAAAAGTATATGAGAAAATCAATATTTTATATGTGAGCCTTAGGACCATAATAGAATAACTGTATTAATACTTCCTTTGTTCCAAAATTATTTACCTTTTTACTATTCTGGTCTTTGGATAACTTTTGTTTGTTTGCATATTTTCACTGATTATTTCATAAAATAAAATATTCTTGTCACTTATTATTTTGTAGAACTTTTGATGTAGTTTTTAAATATGTAAGTTTATTTCTTATTTCTATACCAATTTGTAAATAAAATTATTTTAAACGTCACAAGATTTTAGAGCTGGCCGCAAATCAGTCAGTCCGGTGCGGTTCGGTCACTTCGGATTCAAGTTATTTTGAGTTTGCGTCCATTCATCGAGTTCAGATTGAGAAACTGTATGTTCATGACTCAATATCATCGAGTTCAGGTCAACCCAACGAGTTATGAGTTTAGTTTTTAAAATTTTTAAATTCATGTTAACACCTACATTTCACATTAAATATAATTAAAATATCAAAACATATGTATAAAATCTATTATATTATTATTATTTTAAATTCTAAAGTAATTTTTAGTCATACTAGTCAATAAAGAGAATTTAAAAAATGCATAGTTTTTGGAAAAAGTAAAATAATTATGCAATATCCTTGAAATTTTGTCTAAAAGTATAAATTTATACACTTAAAACTAGTGGCAAGAAAAATATATAATTATAACATTATTTTTATAACATTATATTTCATAGTAAAGTATATGATTTTGAAAAACCATTACATTAGCGAGTCGGTCATGTCGGAGTCGTGTTCAGTCAGGTTTGACCCATTTTTAGTGGGTTATTTTGGGTTTAGTCAGCAGAATCTTTGTTCAGAACCCAGTGTCTTCGGGTCGAGTTTGGGGGATAAAACAAGTCGGTCATTTTTTGCCAGGTCTACGAGATTTTGCATGTCGTTTGAATAGGGAGCTTCTTTTAAGGACAGAAGGAATATTACTTATTTAGTTACCCCATCCGTCATAGAGTATTCATCTAGTTTAATTTAAAAATTGATGAACTTTAATAACCAATTCAATTACATCTAATTGCATTGCTTATTAATACAAATAAAAAGACTTGTGATTGTTTTTTAGTAAAATAAATCTAATAAATCTTCTTTGTACAAATGTCCAACACATTTTTTAATTAATTGATCTTCAATATTAAATTCGACTCAAAAAGTCAAAATGGACAAATATTCCATGATTGATGTCGTACTCCATGTTCCGTATTATTGAGAGAATAACTACATATAAACCCATAAATAGAGAAAGTGACTATTTTAAACATATTTGGAGAGTGTCCACATGCATAATGGACAAATATCAAATGTTATGGATTAAATCGGCCCTGGCAATTTATATCCGAGCGGGCTGCATAGTTCTTCACGTACAGCCGGCAAAAATTAGAAGCAACATTCAGAAGAGATGGCAATTGGGGCGCACCATCTGGCAATCGGAAGAGGAAGAGAGGGAAGCCACATCCAGCGTTCGGAAGAGCTAACGAGCAATTGGAGAGTGGTGCTGCATTCAGCGATTGGAAGCTAAGAGCTAGCCGATCGAGCGGAAGAGATGGAGCCACGGATCAGAAACCCTAGATGCGATGAAGAGATGAGAGCGGCGGAATCCAAGCCAGGCGGTGATGTCGGAGACAACAACCAGGCTAGGTGGTGATGACAACAGTTGAAGAGATGGGAGCGGCAGCAACAAGGCTAGGCGGAGATGACAACGGCAGAAACCAGGCTAGGCGGCGATGACGGCGGTGACAACCAACAACTCTTATTGTCCATGAATAATTTGTTGCGAATGCGAGAGAGGTAATAACATTGCGTAGCAGCGTTACAAGATTGGTGTACGAACGAATGTGAAGTTCTTGATAGACTCGACAAATTGTGTAATCGTTATTTCTGGGTATACCAAAATACTTCAAACAGATAAGACCTTAGTATCTAGAACGAGCATGGAATTCTTCGTTATCTCAAACATACCCAAAGCCATCTATATATAGACAAATTCTGATCGGACACGTCTTGATGAAACAACACAACTGCACGCTAAACATTCGAATGTGTTGGGATCGCGCATACCCTCACTTCAACCCCGTATTAGTATGATATTGTCCGCTCTGGGCCAAGCCCTCACGGATTTGTTTTTGGGCACCTCCCAAAAGGCCTCATACTAATGGAGTTGGGTGAACATATATATTTTGGTTCATTTACTCCTAAACTTCCGGTGTGGGACTTGGATGAATCCCAAGAAACCTACCCTTAACCAAGGACCACACAACTTGCGACCTCCCCTCTAGCGGTAATCCGTTTTTTCTTTTATCTGCTAACCATCTCGCACCGCCGCACACTCTTTGCGGGACACGTCGTCCGACCTCCTGTCGGGAAGACTTTCAACGCAAGGCTCGAACCGCAGATCTTTCCTTCGCTGGGCTACACCGGCCATTTGATCCGCCAAATCATCTTGTACCGCCGTGGCTATAACTTCACGGGACACACCGCCCGACCTTCTTTCGTCAGGAAGACTTTCAACACAAGGCACCACCTGTGGATCCTCTTTCTTGGTCTTGGTCCTATTGTTAAACTGTCACAGTCCGCTGCTCACGCCCGCAAGAACCTGGGCTCCGATACCACATGTTGAGACCGCGCGTGCCCTCACCCCAACCCCACATTAGTATGATATTGTCCGCTCATGGCCAAATTCTCACAAATTTGTTTTTTCTTTTTCTTTATAATAATAATAATAATAATAATAATAATAAATATTACTATTATTATAGTAACCACCTCTAAACTAATTACAATTTTAACACTAAATGTATTGTTTAGGTACTCCTTCCTCCATGTAGGAGGGATACCCCAACATAATGTTTGGCTACAAGATTCGAATGTATGCTGCGGTTATGTCAAACTCAATGTTTTAGCGATTTTCTATGCAAACCGTCACGTTCTTTTGTGAAACATTTGAATGTTCAATATTAACATTCGAATGTATGAAGTCTTTTAAAGTTGGATTTTGGAAGAAATTGCAAGAAGATGAAAGAAATCGTAACGAATTGAAAAAAACTGAAAATAGTTAGAAAAAGAAAGAAATGAAAAACGTTGGAAAAAAGTGTTAAAAAATTGTTCAATTAAAAGATCCCCAACAAAATATGTAAGGAATCTCATCATTTTCAATAAAGAAGAATTTATTTAATTTTATTTGTCTTTAAGGTGGTATATTATAATTTTAGATATATGATTTTATTGTATGTTTTTCTTTTTTTATTTTAAAATCGTTGTTGAAAGAAATTAGAAAATAGAAAGAAATTAGAAATTAAAAAAACTAGATGTTAACTTTTTCAAACCAAAACGACAAACCCTTATTGTCACCGGGACCCGGTGGTGATTATAGCGATCAACGGCGGCTGCCGGCTGGTGGTGACCAAAGATAGGTGGTTGAGTTAATTGTGTCAATGTTCATTTTCTAAGTGCATCAATGTTCCAGCTTCCAATGTGTTATTGCCAAAACTTATTTCTATTTAGGTGTATGTAGAGTTTAGCTCTTATTTCATACAGACCATATGATAATGTTTTACACTCCATTTAACCCTAATTAATAATGTAGTCTTTATACTACTCCCTTTGTTCACAAACTAACTTTCTAATTTGATTTTCTGGGTCAAATTCTCTAAATTTTGACTATAGTTTACAAAAAATAAAAAAATAATCTTATCATCAGTGTAGAAATTTAATATTTATATATTCATTTGAAACATAGACTTGAATTATCACATTTTTATAATATATATGTATATATTAATATTAATGCTTGCATCTCAGATCGAAAAATTTCAAATAAAAAATTAAATTGTGGACACTGAGATTAATTACTACATTGATTGTACAATTCAATTAGCTATAACTTCTCCATTTTGGATATGTCATTACCTAAATATATTTCAAATGCATGGCAAGATTGACTTATATTTTAGTTATATTTAGTGCAAATTTTTCTAAAATTATTTCATCCTCCTCCGATCCATCCTCCCCCACTCCTTAAACAGTTAGAAATTAACCAAAGTACATGACGACCAATCATATCATGCAGCTTCAATCCCATAACTATTATTACTCCCTCCGTCCCGGAAAACCTTTATCTTTTCTTTTTCATCTGTCCCAAAATACACTTCATATTTCTATTAAAAAGTCACTTTTACCCCTTATTTTTTCATACTTTATCTATCACATCATACCTTTTTACTAATAATCTACCCATCAAATCCTACTTTTACTTATCACATCAAAAGACTTTTTTAGAAATTCAATACCAAAATACACTTCCTTTAAATCTCTTAAAAATCAATAACTCCCATGTTTTTAGGACCGGAGGTAGTATTATTTAATTAGTATTATGAATATAATTACGATGCGAGATTAGTATTAATATTATTGGTATTATTAATATTGCTTAGGCCTTCCATAAGTGCAAACCGCATGTCTTGTGATGGCCTCCAATGGCGCTTCCTTTGGTTTATGAACCAGTTGTTTATCTGCTTCTGGTCCAACCCTGTCATTTCACACAACTTGTTCTTCTCTTCTTCCTGCGCCATCCACATATATGCACCTCATCATCTCAAGTTAATATACCATTCTAAATTTCTAATGATTTTAAGAAAAATGCTTGGGGAACCCCACTTCAGGTACATCAAGTGTACATCAATACAAAAATAGGCGCACACAGACACTTAATGAGTTAATATCTGTGCACACTCAATGTCTAGGCACCCAAGTGGGATTCCCCTAGCACTTCTCAAATTTTAAATGTGAACTACGACAGCTTAACCCTATGTGTAGAATAATAAAATAATATATTTGTTTAAGAATCATGGAGAGTAAACTTGTACAAGAGAGCTTATATAGAAAGCATTCATAACACTAAGTAGAAATCAATTTAATATGGAAGCTAACTTATAACAAAACACTACTATAAGTAATACTATTACTAATTTTCAACAAACATTCCCCCTCAAGCCGAGTCTGGCGAAAGCAAGAGAAAGTTTAGGCATTAGCCAAAAAACGAAAACCTTGAGAAGGGAGAAGTCTGATTGTGCGCTGGTAACAACTGACGTTAATGAAGAAAGAAGTATGACGTGAGTTGGTAGTTGATAACGCGAAGAAGAAAAAGAAGAAATAGGCTATCGAAGATGCCTATTTGACTGAAGATCTATGACATTCTTTATCATTTTCCTCGATTCGGGTAAAACCCTGTTTCTTTTCTTAAGTTATGAGAATCTTCTATGTTTTCTTGGAGGGGTGGGGACGGGTATTCCTTCATCTTGCTCTATCTCCCCTCTAGGCTTTGCTTTTGTTTTTATTTGCTTTAGTTTCATAGTGGTTCCATAGAAAAGCAAGAGATGAGGTCAATCTAGAGATTGACTTAGAGCATATTCTCTTCACCTGATCTGATTGGAATATATAAGTTTTGATCTGATCTAATCTAATTATAGTTATATTTAAAGCTGTTTCTAAAGAATGGAATAAATCTTTCATTACTTGAATTGTGAATACAAGGGGTGTACATATACTATTCCTAACTATTCTTATACAAGGTAGGATTACACAATAGGATGGAATGTAATAAGGAAACACATACATACAAGGAAACAATATTAAATAAGTAAATCTAGTTACTACATTTAACATGCTCTGTGCGGTCTTAGAGGCGATGAATGATACCAAAATTGTCTCTGAAATCCAGGAATAAGAGAGACAAAAGTCTCTTTGTGAAGATGTCTGCAAATAGGGAGGACAATGGAACATTTAAAACACAGAAGAATGTCCAAGGCCACTTTGTCTCTTACGAAATGAATATCCACTTCAACATGTTTGGTGCACTGATATTGAATAGGATTTGTCGAAAAATAGACGACAATAATATTGTCACAGAAGACAAGAATGGGACACGTTTAAGAGGTTGGTGGAGGTCAAGGAGGATATTACGTATCCAGCTAGATTAATCTGCAACTACATTGGCTATAGCACGGTACTCAACTTCTGCACTAGAACAAGAGGTGGTAACCTTTTGTTTAGAGTACCCTGACACCAGATTGTCCGCAAGGAAAACGTAGTAACCAGAGGTGGATTTTTGAGTGTCCGAGAATCTGAACCAATTCGCATATGAGAAAGCCTCCTGGATTTGGTGAGGGTTATTCCATGTGTGGCCTTGGCGCTCAGCTTTCCTTTGGTGTCGACCAGTGTGGAGATTGGCTTGCAGTTTGTCATGTCCACCCGCTTAAGAATCTCATGTGTGAACTGAGTCTAATGAAGAAAAAACCTTGACTGTTGCAGTGAACATTTACCCAAAGAAAGAAGAGAAGAACCCCATGTCTGTCATAGCAAATTCCCCTTTAAGTTTTTGAATCAGCATATGAAGAAGTGTAGAGTAGGATGTTGTTAGGACAATTTCATTCTTATACAATAGTAAGTATGCCATGTTTGTGCCGTTATGATACACAAAGAGAAAAGTGTCATACTTATAGCCCTGAAATCCCAATTGAATAAAAGTAGCAAAGAGAAGATACCAGGAGCGTGGAGCTTGCTTCAATCCGTAAAGGATTTTGTTTAGTTTGCAAAGATAGTGCGGGCGAGTGTGATCCTGAAAACAGGATGGTTGGCAGGCACAAATAGTCTCTCGAAGTGTGCCATGTAAGAAAAAATTCTAAACATCCAATTGATGAATGAGCCAGGAATGCATGGCTTTTGGCAAGACTAAGCACAATCCGGATAGTGGTTGGTTTCACCACTGGGCTGAACATCTCATCATAGTCCACTCCAAAGCATTGATTAAATCCACAAACAACTCAACAGAATTTATACTTTGACAGTTCACCTATAGGACCAAGTTTATGGTGAAATAACCATTTTCCAGAAATAATAATTTTGCTAGGGTGAGGCGGTAGTAATTCCCATGTTTTATTATTAATCAAACCATTGTATTCTTTACACATAATAGCATGTGAGTTTGGATCTTTAACTGCACTACGGTATGTGGGTGGGACACGGGAGATTATGACCGTGGTGTTAATGTTAAGGATTTGTTTTAGACGAGATATGCCAGCTTTGGAGCGAGTGACCTTGGGGTGATTATTGGGTGTGGGAGGGGGTGGAGAGGTATTGGGATTTGGGTGAGGGGAGGCCGAGAGAGAGGTGGAGGCTGAGGGGCTGGGTGGGTTGGGGCTCGTAGTGAGATAAGCGAAGGGTGGGTGTTGCCGTAGGTAGGGTAATCAAGGGAGTGGTAAGAGAGGATGAGTAAAAGTTTTTAGGAAGCAGTGGTGTGAGGGTATGCCATCCTCTGTGGAGTCGAGGAAAAAAAGGTCTTGTTGAGAGGGGGTATGGGGGTAAGGGAAGACCAATTTGTCAAATATTACATGGAGGGAAGTGATGATTTTGTTTGTGTTGAGATCAAGACAATGATATCCGCGTTGCTTTGAAGGAAAACCGAGAAATATGCACTAGGATGAGTGTATGAGAGGTTGGGGTAGCAAATTAAAAGCACCCAAAGATACGAAGGTGGGTGTATGAGAGAGAAGTATGATAGAGGGCTTCATGGGTGTTTGGGAAGAAGATTAAAAATATGACTCATATGGAGAGCTTTGACCCAGGATGATGAGGGGAGGTTGGCTTGAAACAAAATGGTGTGCATGGTCATTCTATTTACTGGTGTGTGGCTGGGTAAGATAAATGAAAGAGTAAACCCTTAGAGGAAAAGAAATCAATAAGGGGGTTTTTTGTTTTCTATGCCATTATCACACAGAACAACTTGAACCGTGGTGTGAAATTGTGTTAGAGTAAACACTCATAATTAATGACAAAAATCATCCAATAACAACATATAAAATTTAAATCCAGTGTCATTGGGTAAAAGAAACTCCCACAAGTCTGTATGCAATAATTTAAACGGAGAAGTTGAAACAAAAGTAGAAGAAGAAAATGGGAGATGAATATTTTCCAAATTGAAAAGAAAGACATAAAGTAGGTAATGGTCTTTTATTAAAACTGAGAGAAAATGGGGTAGGGGACTCGATAGAGGACATCATGGCTAGGGTGTCCAATGCGGTGATGCCGTGTTTGGAGATCACTGATCGTGAGATGAGCTTGGGCTGTGTGTGGATGCATGGGGAAGAGAAGGCCATCACTACTGGAACGATAAAATCACGTACTCCGTTCGAGGTCTTTCACAAAAAAAAAAACTATTTTGGTCAAATTCAACAAAATAGTTATTGTCACGGGTAAAGAGGGTGTTTTATGTTTAAGGTTGTGAGTGATATGGGGGGAGATAAGAACATTCTTAAGGAAGAGGGGGTGTTTTATGTTTAAGGTGCAAGAGCCAGATATAGTATTGCGAAGCTTAGATCTGTTACCAACAGTAATATGTGTGGGAGAAAACAAACTTTGAGAAAAAAACATGAGAAAGAGTACCTGAGTCAGATGAGATGTGATGAGAGGCTCTAGTGTCCATAAGCCAAGAATGTCCACAGAGTGTCATGGTGTCAAAGTAGTGGGTTAGAGTTTTTTAGGTTGGGTAGGGAGAGCGGGGTTGTGTACGAGCTGGGGGGCTTGTGAGTTTGGGGAGGGAAACGGGTTTGGGTAGGATGGCGGTTAGGGGTAGGTGGGTCTAGGGTTGTTTGGGTGAATAAGTTGTCTGTAATAGGCTTGAGCTTGATAGGGATGTGAGCTTGATCGAGGGCGTAATAGGCCAGGGTAGGGAGACTACCAAGGTGGCATGCTATAGGATTGTCATTCATTTTATATGCACTTCCACGCCCACGATCTCGGTTGCAACCACGGCCCCAACCACCTTCGTTGTTACTTCCACTGCCCCACCCGTCGTTGCTACTACAGCTGTTCTGTTGCTCGTCGCACCCCGTGCTGTCGCCGGTTCATGGGTTCGATCGGCTTAGATTTTCCAGCAGCAACATGGGTTATGGATCCTACATTAGATGCATCTAAATCCAGTTGATCTTGCTCAAGCAAGATGACGGCATATCGGGCCTCTAAAAAATTCGGAAAAGGGACTTGATACTGAAGAAGGGTGACCTGAGCACTAAGATTTTGAGGGAGACCCCGTAGAAGTTGAAGAACAAGGCCTCGTTTAGTAACATGGGCATTCACATCATCATGACAGTCAGCGAGATTTCTCAAAGTCTCACACTAATCAGCCGTAGATTTTGTGCTTTTGGTAGTATCCCTATTGGGGTGAAGGTTAGATATGGAGAATCTGGGGCAGTAGTGACAGAGGAAGGAGTTTCGGCCATGGTGCCGAGGGAGAAGTGATATCGGTGAGAGAGGAGGGCCGATGTCGGCAACAAAGACATGGCCGAGAAAGAGGGAGGATGATGCCAAAAAAATTAGCTTAAAATGGCTCTGATACTATGAAGAATGGAATAAATCTTTTATTACTTGAATTGTGAATACAATGGGGTGTGTATATACCATTCCTATATACGGTAGGATTACACAATAAGAAAGAATGTAATAAGGAAACATATACACAAGGAAACAATATTAAATAAATAAATATAGTTATTATATTTAATAGTTTCTGATCTGATGTGGTCGGATTTGAAATGATCTGATTCCAATAAAAATAAGTAATAAGTAATAAGAATAAGTTAAAGAGAACAAACACTTAGAATTGGGAAGAAGATATGATGGATCTTTGATGAATGAGAAGAAGGGAAGGATTTCTGAACATTGAAATGTGAGAGATAAAAAACAGGGATTTAAAGGTGATTGAATTTGGGGGAAGGGAAGGATTTCTTATCAATGAGTCATATCAAAGGCTATAGAGAGATAAGGCATATCTTGACAGTCCTCATAACACTGATGAATGCAGGACGGTCTGAACTTGTTCCTCATGTGATTCTCGAGTGAATTGGTTCAATCTGGGCTGGTGTAGCATTGTGACAGTGCCAAGAGAGGCCGCAATTTGGGGAAGGAGGAGGCCGACGGTCTGATATACTAAGGGCCGCCGGTCAGAGCTACTGAGGTAACTTGGTCTATGTTCTCCTCAACTTATTCTTTTACTTATTACTTACTTTTGTTAGAATCAGATCAGACCAGATCAAATTAGATTAGGAATAATTTTGATATAAGTACATTCAGATGAAATCAGACTAGATCAGATTAGAACTTATTCCATACAGAAACATGGCCTTGACCCCCACTATATTTTCTAAAATTAGTATTCTACCGTCGCAAATTAAACTTTTGAGACAAACAGAAAAGAAAAATGATAAATGTACTTATGGGTATATATTGTACTATTACAAAAATTAGCTTTTGCATTGGTTATTTTTTACCTTTTGAGTCGGTTTCTAACCGATGCAAAAAGTAGTGATGCAATTGGTGCAAATACTTTATGCATCGATTATTTAACCGATGCAAAAAGTTCTCCATGAGTACATTATTCACGCTCCAATAGGGACTTTTTAATTTATTATTTGGTAATAACCGATTCAAAGGGTGATTCCCAGAATGACGCCAATTCTAGGAAGCACCTTTTGAATCCGTTATTACCAAATAACCGATTCAAAAGGTATTTTTAAAAAATGAGCAGAAACTGGAAATGAACAAACCCAAAACAACAAACAGGGCTCAAAGGACATAATTAACACAGCAGAAAAAAGAACAAAACTTTTAGTAATAACCGATTCAATAGGCTATTGAATCATATATTACTAATAACCGAATAACAAACTACCAGTTGGCGAAATCAACTACCCCATTTGCATCGATTTTCTCTGAAACCGATACAAACGGAGTAGTCGATTTGATCTTTTTATAGTAGTGTTACTTCATATTAATTCTCTCAATAATATAAATTATATTCGTCCTAGAGTATTCATTAAGTTTGATTTATGTGTCAAATTAGATATACTTTGATCATAAATCAAACAAAAATCATACTTTCTCTGTCTTGTAAAACTTTTCAACTTTCACATCTTACTTGTCCTATAAAATATTTTAATTTGGGTTAAATGGACACAATTGTCTTTGCATTTCATAAATCTAACCGAAGCTAGCTACCCCAACTAGCTTCTACGCTCTACCCATTTTGACACTTCACGAGCCCTACTAGTTTGAATTATCATTGTTTTACCTTTTGATCTAATTTCAACAGTTTCCCTACCAAAAAGTTAAAATAGAAAATGTTTTACGGGACGAAAGAAATATTAGTTATTAGTACAAAAAAATTATATGAAACTAGTAAGCACTTAGGCCCCGTTTGGTACATGGAATTGATAGATTTGGAATTGAATTTGAATTGTAATTCCACGGGATTCAATTCCATAGAATTAAATTCTGTTAATTCCAATTCATTTTTTGCACTATTAATTTCAAATCCACATAATTTTTGTGCTGCCAAACACCAGAATTGAAATTGAAGTCCTCAATTCCAATTCCATAGTTTGAATTCCGTATACCAAACGGGGCCTTAAAATAATTCAAAGATTTGGAAAGCACTTTCAAAAAAATATAAAGACCTAGTTTGACTTGAAAATGTCAAATTTGACTAATATTGTGCAATAGATCACATGTAGTAGCACTTCACTCTAATGTGTTTTGAAAATGTGGATAACTAAATTGGAATAATAATGGATATAGAAGTGTACATACATACCGTTGGGTAAGGCCACCTATAGTGGGAGTCCCACCATTGGAGCAAGACAAGACGAGCATCTTTTGGGAGCTTTCCTTTCTTCCTCTTCTTCAAGAAATCCTTCCTTAGATTGCTTAGGTATCCGCTGTATTTCCGCATCAGCATTTCTTTAATCTGCGCCCATTGCCGTTCGTCGTCTCCGTCGTCTCCTACTTCCACTTCCCCGTGGCTCGCATACTCCTCCTCCTCTTCTGATGTATCCCCACCACCACCACCTTCATCTGATAATCATTCATTACTATTATTTAAAATGTGTCTCTTCTTCTCAACTTGTTTTATGTTGAAAAGGAGTTTTAATTTTGATAGAATTTGGGATGAGTATGGACAACTTGATTGGGCAATAAGACACTTGGGCTGAACCACACATTAAAAGATTGAATCCAATCGATTAGTTAGTTTAACTCAAGAGCTTATATATCGGATTATTTTACTCTTGGACTTCCAATGTGGGATGCACTCTAACACTCCCCCTCAAGTAGACAACCGGGCCATTTTGAATCTAACCGGTTGACCACATGCAAATGAACTCCCATTCCCTTAATATATTGTTTTTGAGCGCCAACACCTAAAGGACCACGAGCCGCTGGGTATGGACTTCCAGACGAGCAATCGTGCATGTTAACGGGCCACAGGCCGTTGGATACATACTCCATACGGACAACTGGGCTAAAGACTAACGGGCCGCTAGGAATGAACGTCTAGACGGACACCTTGACAAACGAGGTGGGCCAAAACCTGCTCCGATACCATGATAGAATTTGGGATGGGGTATGGACAACTGGATTGGATAATAAGACACTTGGGCTGAACCACACATTAAAAGATTGAATCCAATCGATTAGTTAGTTTAATTCAAGAGCTTATATATCGGATTATTTTACTCTTGGACTTCCGATGTGGGATGCACTCTAACAAATTTGTACGACATTATATTCATCCTTGAACTTTTTAAAAATTGCACGGATTCATCCTGAACGCTAAAAGTTGCAGCAATAATGTTCCCCTGAGCTTTTAAAAATGTTACACCAATGGTTCATCTGTGTCATATTTGAGAGTGCGTTAATTACGTACACGTTCATCTATATATGTGTTGGAGCTTGGTGAAGGTATCATAGATTGATGAATTGGTTGATTGATTGATGACGAGCTTTGTCGACTGATGTTCGGCCTTCAAGTTTGTTGCCAACGACTAAAATGAGAATAATTATCTAGGGTTTAAAGATGTTAAAAGTATAGAAAATGATGTTTAGGAATTGCGAAGGACATATTGCAGAACGTAACTCACGTATGTGTGATATATGACTTTAGATGAATACATACTTGCAGTTGATGAGTGCGTAATTAAGACACTCTCAAATCTATATTGCATAGAAAATTAGGGCAAAAGTGTTTTACTGTAAATAAGAGAGGTAGGAGACCATACTCATGGTGTACGTAATGGGGGGGGGGGGGGGTGATAGATAAGCCTATCCTTGATCAATTATGAGCCTGACAATGCATGCATGCATGCATGCTTGTTTGGCTGGTGTAAGAGCGAGCTGAGGCATCAAGTTCCAAGGCCTAAAACTTTATTTGCAGTGCAAATGACAAACCCTAAACGATACAGAAAGGCCCATCCACCAAAAGCCATATGTATTGCCATATCTGCACGCCATCACAGGTTTGAACAAAACAGTTTCTCTCACCATTTTTAATAGATTAAGTTATTTGTACGCTAAAACAATTTGTGCTATTGTAATAGTTTATATTGATATAGCATTTTGTACCCTAAAGACATTCACCGATATTTTGTGCTAATGTGAACTGTTAAAATATCAGTGCATTTCTTTGGAGTATAACTTGAAGTACACTTGCATGGTTGTTTTTTACCTTACTTTATGTGGTCAAGAACACACAAAATCATCATTAACCCCCTTTCATCAAAATAGTTTCGCTCACCATTTATAGGACATCCAAAATGGGAAGTATAAAAAATTTTATGAGATGAGAGAGTAAGGGCATTTACAATGGTCCCAAAAATATTTAATACAAATATTTATTTATTAATAAAAATAGATAAATAATAAGAAATAAAATAAACGTAATAGATTCAAAATTAACAAAAAAAAAGATTTAAAATTAAAAAAATGAAATTGAAAAAAAAACATCCGCGAATCCAGCGCGGCCTTGCGCCGCGGCGTGTGGCGTAGCGCAAGAGATGCAGCGGCGGGCGAGTCGCGATTTCTTCTCGGCATTTGTGCGGCGCATGCAGCAGACTTTGCTTTGCTGTAAATGCCTTATTATCAGGGTCGTCGCATCTTACTTTCTATCCAGACTATAGATCTATTTATTTCTTCCATTGGCTCCATATTAAACAAATTATTCAGACTGGAACTGAAGGACCCTAAGAGTTGGAGTTCATTTTTTTTTTAAGAATATCGAAGATCAAGATTTTGAGAAACTAATTAAACGACTAAAAAAGCCAAGGGTAAAGCTATTAAATTTAAAAATTTTAGAACTAAACTCAGTGTTAATGTCAAATACTCCCTCCGTCCCAAAAAGATTTACACGTTTTAAAAAAAAATTGTCCCACAATTCCTTACTCATTTCTATTAAAAAATCACTTTTAACCCTTACCTTTTCAAACCCTACCTATCACATCATACATTTTTCTAATAATCTACACATCATATCATACTTTTACCCATCACATCAAAGATAATTTTGGAAAATCAACACAAAATTACCCCTCAATTTCTACTTTAGTTAAAACGTACCCATCTTTATGGGACGGAGGGAGTATATGATTTAACGAATGGTATAAAATAACATCTAATTTAGCTTGGGTTCAACTTATTTTTTTCTGCTTATTATTTATTCTTATTACGGAGTATATCAGATCAGTAACATTTTTCGTTATATTATAACTGCAATCAGATCAGGTCAGATAAGATCAAACCAGATCAGATCTTCAAAAAATCAGATTCATATCACATCAGATAAACGGAACGCAGTCTTAATCTAATTGGTTCTAATCTAAATTACTCCCTCTGTCCTATAATGATCTTCCCAGAGCACTATTCCAACTTCACGGGAATTTATATTTATTTGTGCTTTTTCATGGCCTATATGATAAAATAAAATATTCTTGTCACCACTTGTTTTGTTAAACTTTTGATGTAGTTTTTAAATATGTACGGAGTATGTTTTATTTTTTATTTCTATACCAATATTTAAATAAAATAGATTGAAAAAACTTGAGATTTTTCTTCGTTTTGCGAACCGGGAAGATCATTATAGGACGGAGGGGTAATAAATAACAGATCTGGTCTCGTTTGGTTTGTTTTGGCTCTAGTTAAAAATAAAGTCGTTTGATCTTATCTTATACTCCGTGCGTCACACAAATCCCTTCTCTTATCATTTTTCATCCATTCTCTCTTTTCGATTAAAAAGTCACTTTACCTCTATTAATTCTTTACATATCTATCATATCATACTTTTTCTCTATTAATCTATCCATCACATCAAAGGGCTTTTTTGAAAAATCAACAACAAATACACTCTCCTTAAATCTTTTAAAAGTCAAAATGAGAAATTTTTTATGGGACGGAGGGAATAAGATCTAGTCTGGTTCAAATAAAAATAAGTGATAACAAGAATAAATGAAAAAGAAAAGATTGTGATTACCACAAGAGTGAAATGAGGAGTTGAATGAGGTTTGTGAGGAGGAATCTTTGCAGAGGCTGCTGAGCTGAGATTCAATGCTACTCAAGAAAGCTTTGGCTTCATCAAAGGGCTTTGACAACTCTTCTTTGTACTTGTACATTGCTTCACAATAAGATTCCTTTAAACCCCAAACAAATCATCATTAAAACCAGTAATTTGAGAGAATAAAATATACTCTCTACTTTTTTAAAAAAAAACTCTTAAACCAGCCACAAACATGCACTAGCCTACCATGATTTAGCAACTTTGTACTTTTTTTGTTTTAATTTGATGAAAATATTTTTAACCAAAATATTTTAATAAAAAATACTTCACCCTGAAAAAAATTTAGGGTTGTTATCCACTAGGTTTAATATATACAAATGGAGTATACTTTTTCTTAACATATTTTTATTACGATGTTTTATTTTTTGTAGAACTTTTATTTTACTCTGTAGATTTTAAATATATTAATTTTATTGTTTACTACTTCCGTCCCAAAAAAATTTTGGGCGAAAGACCAAACTAGGACTAAAACATTGAAAATATACCAAAATAAGACTTTCATGTTTTTATTTCCGAAATAGGACTTACATTACCAAACATGGTCATATACTTTACCAAAAAAGTATAGTAATTTGCACATGTACACTGCCACATTACCACAATGCAAAGTCACATTACCACAGTGCAAAGTCCTATTCCGGGAAAAAAACATGAAAGTCCTATTTTGGTACTTTTCTCTATGTTTTAGTCCTATTTAGGATGATTTCTAAAAGATTTACACATTTTGACTAAAGTTGAAATTAAGGAAGGGATAATTTTGTGTTGACTTTCCAAAAATACCCTTGATATGATGAGCAAAAGTAGGATCTGATGTGTAGATTATTAGGAAAAAGATATGATGTGATAGGTAGGGTTTGAAAAAGTAAGGGGTAAAAGTGTTTTTTTAATAAAAATGGGTAGGAGATTGTGGGACGCAATTTTTTTGAAAGGTGTAAATCTTTTTGGGACGGAGGGAGTAGTTTTGTATCAATATTTAATTAGTAAATTGAATTAAAAAATAAAATGAATTGAGAATAATTTTAGTACTCCCCCGTCGTCCCAAAATATGTGTCTAACTCGTTACAGTCAACCAAAATCAACGTTTGACCAATTATTAAATATAAATTATACTCCCTCCGTCCCAAAAAGATTGGTACATATTGACTTTTTGGGAAATTAAGGAAGGAATATTTTGGTGTTGACTTTTAAAAAATATCCTTGATGTGATGGGTAAAAGTAGGATGTGATGGGTATATTATTACAAAAAAGGTATGATATGATAGGTAGGGTATGAAAAAGTAAGGGGTAAAAGTGGTTTTTTAATAGAAACGTAACGGACTTTACGAGACGCAGTTTTTTCGAAACGTGTCAGACTTTTTGAGACGGAGGTAGTATTATACTCCCTCCGTCCCTAAATAAACTTCGTCTTTCGTTTTTTCTTTGTCCCCAAATAAACTTCTCTTTTTCCTTAAAAAACTCCTTTTACCCCTTACTTTTTCATACCCTACTTATCACATCATACCTTTTTACTAATAATCTACATATCACATCTTACTTTTACACATGGTATTTTTGGAAAGTCAACACAAAAATATTTCTCCCTTAAATCATCAAAAAGTCAAAAACGAAAGTTTATTTAGGGACGGAGGAAGTATATAACTAGATAAAATAGTATTCTGAAAATATTTTTTAAGATAAATCTAATAAAGATATTTTTGTGACAATATCTAATAAAGTTATTTTTGTATAATTAATTATTTATGATAGGAGTTTATCTATTTTGATTGTAAAAAATAAAATTGGACAAACACTATAGGGTAGAGATAATAAATTAAACCATGAATCCAAACCATAATGTATGATGAATGATTAAGAGACTCAAAATCTCAAAGGGGCAAAAATAATTAAATCATTGTTCACCATGAACTGATCAAGTTCCGGATCTCCGGCAATCTCATCAGCTGTTGCGGTGGTGGTTGCGGCGGCGGGCGGGTGTTGGCTGATCTCTTCAAGTAGGGTAGAAATATCTGGTGGTGCTGCAACCTTGACATAAAAAAACATGCACATATTCTCAACATCATTAAAAAAAACATTTCAATGGTCAATAATTACATGCATACAGCCATTTTTTGTATTAAAAAAAAGGAAGTAAAAAATGAGGAAGATGAGAGATAGAGTAATGCTTCCTCCCTCCCACAAAACCTTTCTCTTTTTCTTTTTTCATCCGTCCCAAAAAACTTTTTTCATTTCTTTTAAAAAGTCACTTTTATCCCTACTCATTCTTAACCTACTTATCACATCATACTTTTTTATTACTAATCCACCCATCATATCTACTCTTACCTATCACATCCAAAGACATTTTTGGAGTGTCAATATCAAAATACACTCCACTTAAATTCTTTAAAAATCAAAAGAAAAAATGTTTTATGGGATGGAGAGAGTATTATTATTACCTTTGTGCATTGAAAATAAGCTGAAACTAAGTTGGGATAAAGAGGATGATTAGCAATCTGTGCTTTAACAACATCTGGTGATGATGACATCATCCCTCCATGGTGATGATGATGATGATGACGACTTTGTAGAGTACTGTCACCACAGCCGTTGATCATGCCACTTTGATGGCGATGATGATCATCATCATCACCATCAATTCCAACACTAAACACATCATTACTATTATTATCATTATTATAAATATTATTAGTGTTGGTGGATGAGGGTGCATAGGAAGGAGATGGTGAGGGCGCAAGCACGGAGTGAATCCCGTATAGCTCATCCATCATCATCATATCATATCTCCTTATCCTTTACAAAGAAAAGAAAGAGTGGGGAAGATGGCAAACCACAGTAACACTTTTGAGGAGACTGAGAGAGAGAGATAGGATGGACGGGGGACAGGGGGTATGGGGAGGATATATTGACTATAACTCCATTCTTACTGACATTACAGGTTTTCCATATTGTTCTGTGTCTGTAATGTCTATAAAAATGATAGATGTTAAAGGGTATTAAAATGTTGAGGTCAATCAAATATAACCCTATATAGATTTTATTACTCTCTCCGTCCGGAAATAATCTTCTCGTTTCTTATTTTTTCACGTCTGAAGATAATCTTCTCATTTCTAATTTTAATCCCAATTCTTCCAAAAATACTCTTCTCATTAAATAACCTTTCTTTGCAGAAAATTACTCACGGGTGACGCAAGTTTTGTCGAAATAACTCTCAGGTCTCTCTATTTTCAAGAAGACAACAGAGGTCCTTACATTTTGTTGTAATGACTATGAGGGGACATTCAACCCAATATTTCATCCATAAACGTAAATAAATGTACTCCCTCCGTCCCAAAAAGTTTGTTACGTTTAGAAAAAACTGCGTCCCGTAAAGTCCGTTACATTTCTATTAAAAAACCACTTTACCCCTTACTTTTTCATACCCTACTTATCACATCATACCTTTTTTCTAATAACATACCCATCACATCCTACTTTTACCCATCACATCAAGGGTAGTTTTGGAAAGTCAATACCAAAACATTCCTCCCTTAATTTTCCAAAAAGTCAAACCGTCCCATTCTTTTTGGGACGGAGGGAGTATTTTTTTCCTTGTTTTTCTAAATATTTTAAGGTAATAAATCTTAAGTCGCTCCTTTTTTTATTTCTTTATTTTTCTTTTTTGTTACTCTTTTTTAAAGTGTTATTTTAGAATTTCTTCTATAAAATCGAATAAAAATTCAAAATTGTTGGTATTATATTAAAATAAATGAAATAAAATATTTTCTAAAAAAGAAAAAAACCGAGTAATGGCAAAATAGGAAAAAACGGTAATGGAAAAATAGGAAAAAAAATACATTTATTAACACTTATGGATGAAATGTCTCATCCCAGTCATTACAACAAAATATAAGGACCTCAGTTGTCTTCTTGAAAATAGAGGGACCTGAGATTTATTTCAACAAAACTCGCGTCACCCGTAAGTCATTTTCTGCTTTCTTTGTTTCTTTTTTCTTTTCTTCCTATTCTTCTTTTCTTTCCTCCTACACTTCTCCATCTTTTTTTCACGGCCTCATCTCCTCCATCTCCTCGTCAGTTTCTTCCATTCATTTTCATCTACATAACCTCTTCCTCCTCCTCCTTTCTCATACCTTCTCTTCTACTCCTTTTCTCTCCCCCTTGATTCTTGCTTCCCTTCCTTCTCTTCTCCTCTCTCCCCCTCCATCTTTCTTCCCAACTCCTTTCTTCTCCGTCTTTCTTCCAGATCTAGGCTAAGGCGGCGATGATTGCATGACGGCTAGCGTGATGGTGAGTGTAGATTTATACTACTACTCATTATTTCTTATAAATATACACCACCACCCCTTTCTCCTTGTTATTTATTTTAGATTTGTGCCATGGTAGCCGTGATAGTGGTACAGGAGACAGTGTTGCGGCTGACCATGATGGTGGGGATGCCAATGGTGGTGTGGCTGGCGGCGATAAAAAGACTGATGGTGGTGGCAAGGGTTGGGCTAGCGGTGGTGGTGGGGACTAGGGAAGATGGTCGGAGCATTGACGGTGAAGGGGTAGTAGTGGGGCTCAAGTTGGCGGTGGGGACTGGCGAAGGTCAGAACAGGGACGGTCAGCTTCCTCATTCATTCACTAGCCTTTTTAAGGGCATATTAGTCATTTGAACTCATAAGTCAACCATTCAAAAAAATGAGAAAAAATCCAAATGGGAAAGTTTTTCTCGGATGGAGGGAGTATATTAATCAGTCGATCTCCTCTCTTTTTATTATTTTCAACATTTAATTCTTAGACAATTTGGTATGAATCACACCATGACACCCACTCATCACTTCATCCCACTCAACATCATTCAATGTCACGTCAGCTTTTCTCTTTTTCATCATAGTCCATCACACCACAAGAGTGTTGATCACACCACCACGCCTATTTTATTTTTAATTTTTTAAATTATAATTAACTTAAAATAAATTATATTAAGTAAATAATTCAATAACATCAAAATTAAAATTACATTGATTCGATTTAAAAAGCAAAATTTAAAAAATACAAATATTAAAAATATAATTAATAAAAATATAAGTATTCGTCATTCAAAAGTGCATGCATGAGCGAAGTTCCACAAATATTCAACTAAATCTGCACAAAGCTTGTGGGCGTACACATGTTATGTAACTCGAACCTGTTGAGATCTTGTTGTTCTGCATCAACATTAACATTATGGTCATTCGGGTTGTATTCACATATCGCACATTCTTCATCTTTGATAATCATTTTACGTAGGATGCATCAAACGTACATAATGTGACGTAATTTTGTTAGTGTGTAATCTCGTCCTGGATTTTTCACAATGTGTCATCTCTGCGTGAGCTCACCAAATAAGCTTTCCCCGTCTTTTTCTTGTTGATTCTTGGTATTTGGTAAATTTCTTTCTTTTTGGATCCTCACAGTATAGACGTAGAGTATAGTTTTTACTATTGTCACGTGCTCTGGGTAGATACTATCGCCAAGATAAGATACATGCTTGTACTCCATCCCTGAAATAGAAAAAGAAGTTTTTTCAATTCCTTCTAGCCTTTTCCAGTTTCTTCTAGTTTCTTCCAACATCTAATTTTTTTCTAATTTTTTTCTAACCCTAAAGAACATGCCCTTAATCAGACTAGTTATAAAGTTAGGAAGAGAATCTAATTTTTCTTTTTCTTCCTCCTCCTTATTTTCCACCATTCCATTTAAAATATTATACTCCCTCCGTCCCAAAAAGATTTACACGTTTCAAAAAAATTACGTCCCACAATCTTCTTCCCATTTCTATTAAAAAACCACTTTTACCCCTTACTTTTTCAAACACTACCTATCACATCATACTTTTTCCTAATAATCTACACATCACATCCTACTTTTACCCATCACATCAAGGATATTTTTGGAAAGTCAACACAAAATTATCTCTCCCTTAATTTCAACTTTAGTCAAAACGTGTAAATCTTTTTGGGACGGAGGGAGTAATTTCTTTTGTAACCTTTAATTTTATATAATTACTTATCGGTAATTTTATATAATTCCTCCTCCATTCCATAAAACCCTTCACCTTTCATTTTTTTCTAATTCCCTAAAACATTTTCACTTTCTATTTAAAAAATTACTTTTACCCTCGCTTTTTCATACCCTACCTATCATATCATACTTTTTTCACTAATAACCAAACTATCACACTTTACTTTTACTCATCACATTAGAAGCAAAATTTGAAAATCAACCAAAATTACACTTTTCTTATTTTAGCCCAAAGTGAAAAGTAAGACTAACTGGTAACGGGGTTCGACTTATGATGGGGACAAGTGGGGCACCACTATCAATCTTCATGGATGTGTGGGTGGAAAAAAAGGGATATGCTAGGGGTGTGGGGTACACCAATGGTGTACTCCAAATGCACACCACTTGATTTTACGCCATTCATTTTATTTTCTTTTAATTTTTTACTTTTCTTTTAAATTTTCTTGCCTTTTTGTGTGGTGATGGAGGGGTGGGGGATGTTGGGGGTACACTTTTAGTGTACCCCTAGCATTTTACGGAAAAAAAATGTCATAAAAATTTAATGAGTAATGCTAGGGGTACACCAAAAGGTGTATCCCAAATGTACACCACCCTCTTTTCCTCCACACATTTTTTATTTGATTTTTATTTACTTAATTTTTTTGAATATTTTGCCTTTTTTAGTGGACAGGGAGGGGTGGGGATATTTGGGGTACACCTTTGGTGTACCCCTAGCATTTTTCAAATTTAATATTCTCTCTGTTACGAATTATCGTAAGAGTTACAATTCCTATCTCTCGATCATTTTAGTTTGGTTGCATATTTTTTATCATTTGATAAAATAAAATAATTTTGTCGCTATTTATTGTTACTCCCTCCGTCCTAAAACTTTCTTTCCAGAGCACTATTTCAACTTCACGGAAATTTATATTTATTTGTGTTTTTTCATGGCGTATATGATAAAATAAAATATTCTTGTCACCATTTATTTTATTGAACTTTTGATGAAGTTTTTAAATATGTATGTTTTATTTTTTTTATTTCTATACCAATATTTAAATAAAATAGATTGAAAAAACTTGGGATTTTTTCTTCATTTTGCGCAACGGGAAGAAAGTTTTAGGACGGAGAGAGTATATATATTTTAGTCTAATTGGAAAAACTATTTGACCAATGTTATTGGAATTGTTAGCTTATGTATTTATGTCAGCCCATGTATTTGTATTTGTATCATGGACTTAGATAGAAAATTACTCACGAGTGACGCGAGTTTTGTTGAAATAACTCTCAGGTCCCTCTATTTTCAAGAAAACAGGAGAGGTCCTTACATTTTGTTGTAATGACTGGAAGGGAACATTTCATCCAATATTTCATCTATAAACGTTATTAAATGCATTTTTTTCCTATTCTTTTCTAAATGTTCTAGGGTAATAAATCTTAGGTCGATCCTTTTTTTATTTCTTTGTTTTTCTTTCATTTTGTTACTATTTTTAAAGTGTTATTTTATAATTTCTTATATAAAATCGTATAAAAATTCAAAATCGTTTGTATTATATTACAACAAATGAAATGAAAAATTTTTTTAAAAAAAAAAAGAAAAAACAAGTTAATGGCAAAATAGAAAAAAACGGTTTTGGAAAATAGGAAAAAAATACATTTATTAACACTTACGGATGATATATTGGATGAAATGTCCCCTCCCAGTCATTACAACAAAATATAAGAACCTCGGTTGTCTTTTTGAAAATAGAAGGACCTGAAAGTTATTTCGACAAAACTAGCGTCACCCGCGAGTAATTTTCTGTGGACTTAGATGAATAGGCCCAATAGTACATGTATATTTACCCCTCATTGTTTAATGACACACCAGTTCCCGATTAATCCTATTTGACATGGTATCAGAACTTTGTTGACTAAAAAATTATGAGTTCGAAACTTAGCGCCACCATAAAATTATGTCTTCACGTGCAAGGCTCGAAAAAATTACACTTGCACGTGAGGGGTGTGTTAGAATATTTATATTAGTTCATACCAGTTCACTGCTTCTATAAATCCCAGAAAAGCTTTGGTCGAAAGAGAGACAGTTCGAAAATTCATATTAGTTCATACCAGTTCTTGTCAGAAATTTGAGTTTTTCCGATTGATTTTTGGATTGAACATCCAAAATACTTCCTCCGTCCCGCTATATTCGTCGACTTTTGACTTTTGGAACTGTTCATCTAAGCACTTTGACTCATCAAATTCTCTCAATGTATGTAAGCCTAAATATAGTCATGCGTGATCTTGTTTGATTTGTCTTAACATATAGATTATTAATATATAATTTCTATAATTTTTTAATATACAAATTACAAGATAAAATGGATTAAAAAAGTGTATTGGATGGTGTGCAAAAATGAAAGTGGACAAATATAGTGGGACGGAGGGAGTAATCAATTTGAAAGTGCTACAAGACTCTGAATTTGATCCACGTATCTTCATTATCCCCAACACTTATTTTATAGAACTTTCTATTTTTGATGAGTTTTGAAATATGTACGTTGTATTGGTATTTTTATTTTTTTATACTAATTTGTAAAAATAAAATGATTTTAAAAGAGATATAATTTTACACATAGTTCGACATAGGATGCTTACTCTTAGACGAAGAGATTATATCAAAAGTCAAAACCACATCCTAAATTATATATTAAATTACCATTATAACTAAATATACTTTTTTTTATTACTTGTGATCAAAGTGACCAAAAAATCAAAATAGGACAATATTTTTTAGATGGAAAAATATAGTATAATCTTGTCTATATTTCTTGATAAAAAGTAGATAGAAGTATTACTATTTACGCAGTCATATTATAGTACTACCTCAGTCCCACTCTTTTTGTCCAGTTTTGACTTTTGGAACTGTTCATCTAAGCACTTTGACTCATCAAATTCTCTCAATGTGTAAGTCTAAAAATAGTCATGTGTGATCATGTTTGATTTGTCTTAACATATAGATTATTAATATATAATTTTTATAATTTTTTAATATATAAATTACAAGATAAAATGAATTAAAGAAGTGCATTGGATGGTGTGCAAAAATGAAAGTAGACAAAAAGAATGGGACGAAGGGAGTATCATATTTTTAAATATATTTTCATTAATTAATTATTAATATAAACTACTTTTATCACTTCTTTTTTTTTTGTTAAATTATGGCACACTGTGGCAGGGAGGGTGTGTAGAGACACTACAGTAAAGTCATGTGTACTTGGCCTTAAATGACAAAAGTTGCTCAAATAATGGTCTCGTGGTAGGACACCCTCCAGACTCATGCATGCCACCCCTTCCTAGACACAGTAGAGTATCATATTGGAGCAAAAATCCTTATCGAGATTCCCTATTAGGTATAGAAACTTTGAAATTTATTTTTGGTGTCCCAAATTGTTTCAACATAACTTTTGAAATTTAGCTACGGTGACAATTACTAATGTACTCCCACCATTTCCTAGTAATTATTCTCTCCGTCTGCCATATATCTTTACAGACAATAATGGTCAAACATAACTCACATTGTCAGCTTATTTTTACCACTCATTTCATAAAATAATATATGCTCTTAGAGTGTCATCCCACATTGGAAATCCAAAAGTAAAATAATCAGTATACAAGCTCTTGAGTTGAACTAACTAATCGATTGGATTCAATCTTTCAATGTAGCTTAGCACAACTGTCTTATTATCCAATCCAGTTAATCTTACCACATCCTAAACTCTATCATGGTATCAGAGCAGGTTTTGGCGCACTCCGTTATGTAAGTTCATGGGGTGAAATGGAAATCGTCAATTAAGAGCTATGCAA